CCAAATACATGCTTTCTAAACGACGGTTCGTAACAATTGTATTTGTAAATCGCTCTGGACATTCGAAATTCATAGGTTGGCTGCCCTTTTGGGCCCTAACTTTATTCGCGGAGGCATCGGTGAAGGCCTGATGGACTTTCGGAGTTTCAGATCTGTCGCTACTCTCCCTATACAGGTACTCTAGTTGAGGGTTATGTTGACGCTGTAAAAACGGACCATAATGTCCGATTTTTTTACTTAAATCAACTCTTTATTTAATTTCAAGCACTTTTTATAAAATGACTTTTTCCCTTAAATTACACCATTTCCAAGAAAATCGACAGGATAAAAACGTCGCTGTACCCAATGACGTCATCAAAGCTATAGATACTCTATGAAAAATTCCAAGATGCCCGAAATGCAAACACCTCCTTTTTTTTCTCTATGTTTATAGGCTAATAAATGGGTACCCACGCGCGAAGCAACTAAGAACGTAATGCAAATAGCCGACGTACTAGGTCCATGCTCCATGCTGCAGGCACGGGTCATCAACAATCAACACGCCTGATAGCAGAATTCCTCCATGATCCAACCCAATCCATGTCAACTGATCCTCAACATCTCAAGTTGAATGAAGGCCGACACCACTAAGTACTGTAGCCGCTTTTTTCAATTATCAAGAAATATCTAATTAGTTTTAATTAAGTGGAAGCTCGTGGTGTGTTTTACTAACTTTCGTGTTAGCGTTTTCCGGAGATCGCTGTGTGTAACCTGTACCAAGCCCTTGGGGTGGACACTTCTTGCTCTATTAGTTCAGTTCTCAGTTTGTCTTCAGGTATCTTTTCATTCAATTTTTACAATGTCGAAACCGAAGTTTGGACCTAATGATAAAGTTTTTGCGAAAGTCCGTGGTTACCCCCCTTGGCCAGCAAGAGTTGAAGGTCTTGCAGATGAAACTCCTAACAAGATGAAGTACCATGTCTTTTTTTACGGAACTCGAGAGACTGCTGTCTGCAAAGCAGAAGATATATTTGATTTCCATGAAAATGAAGCCAAATACTCTAAAAGTGTGAAAAGGAAATTTTATGCTGAAGCTTTGGAAGAAATTGCTGCTGACATGTCTGAACCCGGCAAAAAATTTAAAACAGCGGCCTCATCCAGCTCAGCCGATCAGAAGGCTGATAATGACAACACTGACACGGAAGGCGAACTCGTTATAGATGAAGATGCCGATAAAGGCAAACAAGCAACCTCAAAGAAACGGAAAGCTAGTTTAAACTCATCATCTAGTGAGCCAGAATCCAAGAAAATCAAGCGGCAAAGTCTACCTGTGGCAAAGAAAATTAATAACACTGAGTCTACACCAACAGAGCCCAATTCAGGAGTCAAAGTTGTTTCTCGTTCGGGTCGCAAAATCAAACCCAAAAAATTCTTATATGAACCAGGTTCAGAAAGTGTTAATGATTCTAATAGTAGTGGAGCTTTGAGTGCACCTGCCGAAACAAAAGGACGGAAGTCTATTTCTAAACCAGCCAATGAAAATTCAGCTCTCAACTCTAACCTGGATAAACCTGTTGGCAAAATGATCACAGCTGAAGTAGAATCAGTAGAAGGGGATTTGATCACCGCTAACACACCTGATGGTAAAAAAATTCGTGTGAATCGTAATTCTGTCAAGGAAACACCAACTCCTAAAGCAAAAATTACTATCACCGATTCCAGTATTGTCAACTTGGATAAACTTAAGGAAACCAATCTGGGTGCAATCTACAACCAGTTCAAAACAGAGATTGACAAAGTTTCGAAGAACAACCAAGAAGGTCCTAGAGTCAAGTTAGAATTTTTAAAAACAGAAGCTCAATTATTAGATATTGATTGTAGGATTAAAACTAGTTTAAGCTTAGCTAAAGCTAATCCAAATGAATGCCTTCGTGCTTTAGATGAACTGCTCGAATTGAAACTAGATCCACTGATGTTGAAGAAACACCCTGAGGTAGTTGAAACCAGCAAAAAACTGAAGAAGTACATCGGTAATATTCACAAATGGGACATGAGTGATTCAGAGAAAGAAATATTTGCTGTCAAATCGGCAGCTATTCGGTCTAAATCCGAACATGTCTACAACAAATTTAAATCTCTGTTCACAATTCCAAGTGGAGTTTCGTTCTGGCAGACTTTTACAAGTGAACTCGAAGAATTCAACAAGAAAACAAACAAAATGCCGCTAGATGATATATTCGGGCTAACTGAGGCTGACGCTCAGCCGGCTGAAACTGTAAAACAAGAAAACTGATCATTACTACAATCTAAGGAAACGAAGTCTTATTTTTGTTGTCGTGATAATGCTTCTTCAGGTATGTCACCAAATTTTAACTTTGATTTTTTCTCACTGCGTGTCCAAAATTAATGAGGGCATTGTATTTTTCTTGTGCACCCCAAGTTATCTTTATAGTTCACAGTTTATACATGAGATCAATCAGACTCATTAGACAAGTTATGACAAATTATTAAATTAGTCTACAGATTTGTAGCTCTTTCTGTCTTACTGCTGGGTTAAGGAAAAACGCTGTACAAGTTTCAGGCAATGCCAAATTTCCCCTGATAAATAACAAATTTTCAGAAAAACTTGTGAATAAATTTCTCCGAATTCTTCAGAGGACTTTACTTGCAATTTAATTTGAAGTATCTGAAAATTTCAAAGAAATATGCTTATATATTTCCTCAGAAATGGATATATTATCATGAGAAATCTGGGAACCTCCAAATGTTTACGGTGTTTTTCCCTAGCACGGCGGCTTAGGCGCCCCATCAGTAAGGAAGTTATTCATTGACTTTTTATTGACACTTGTTTTTCTAGATATTCAAGTGTCTAAGCAGAAACCTAAATGAGCTCCACACAGTATCTCATTGAACCTGATTTCTTAAGAGACTCTGTCATTAGGTAAATTCTTTATAGACGGGATCTGTATTTTCTAAGTGAACCATCGAGATTTATTTCGGAAATAAGAGTTTAATTTTTCTAATCTGAATATAGTTTCCTTTTTACAACTTGGTTTTCATGTCTAAATTACAGTCACTTGAAATATGATTAAAATTGAATTAATTCCTACTCTGGAGGCTAACGTTCACTGTATCCAAGAATTACAGGCAACTGAGGAAGTCAGATAGCTATTGCATTAGGTTTAAATTAAATCATTACTCTATGTTTCGAAAAAGTTCTTCAATTTTCTCTTAAAATTTGGATTAGGGAACTATCACATACAACAATTGGATATTAACTTCTAAGCCATTTATCAATAGTATTTATTCATTTTTCAATCGCAAAATGTTACGGAATGGATGACACTATCTGTTATATTTTACTTAGCCTTATTGTAATCACTAATATTCATGGCTCTAAAGTTGCTCCAATATTTTGCTGCGTTGAGTGTTTTCTATCCAGAAATTTGTAAAGTAAACGTTTGAAGCACATAGTACTTCAATGCAAACTTGGAGTTTTAGTTCATTATAAGAAACATCAGACTGCAATATTGTCATCTGAAGCAAAAGCGCCATAATGCCATTCCAGGTTTTGCAATTTTTTTGCACACAAAATGCTTTTATACAAAAATTCTTATTCTCCTCCACAGTTCATATTTCAGCATGAGTCTTCAGTAGCATCACGCAGTTCTTCTTCAAAAGCGATAGATTAACTTCTGAACGTTTTCTTGCAATAGAACACCTAATCGGAGAAAAAGTCGAAAAATCTGAAGTGGATTTACAGCATTCTTGCTTTAGGAGCCAAAGATGTATGTCTTCTATCCACCAATTGGAGGGGCTCCGCTTCTTGAAATTTAATGCAATAAAATTGAAGTAAGTAGCTATTTTTTACATTGTGAATTGCCAACCTACCTTTCTCACACCTGGAACATATTGTAATGATTGTTTAAAATTGGTTTTTTATCCCAAATGACTTTAAAATATTGCAATTTTTCATGGTGAGAAAAAAACAATTTTATTGCATTAATTTGCAAAGGTTTTTCAATTTTTTTTTGCATGTGCGGCTTGGGTAAATGCCAAATCGTCTTGTTTTTCCCTCACAATATTTCCTTCATAAGGAAGCTTGTTTGCAAGAAACTTCGAATTATAATAGCTGCAAATTATCATGTAAGTTGCTGAAAGTAGAATGGCTGTAACATGATCGCTGGTTCTCATATATTCTTCAAAGGACCGCTGCTGTTTTTTTTTTTTTTTTTCCAAATAAAACAGTGCATTTCCTTAGGATGGAGGACTTAAATTTTTCCAAATCAAGCAGCAGCTTCCTTTCAAAAATATACTCTTGCAAATGTGGAGAAAAAGAAAAGAAAAAACTTTGCTCCGGCGTTAAGTATGTTCTTTTTTTCCCAACAGATATTGTAACACTCATCTGATTTAATCTCGATGGAAGTGCCTGTTTTTTTTAATTTTGAATGATATATTCCTCTATAACTGTAATTTTTCTTTGCACATGTATTGGCATATATTTTTATGTTCCCTCGTGACTAAGTGAGTTGATCAATTCCCCGTAGTCTTAAAGTTTTCTGGTCTTTTAAAAAAAAATGAATGGAAAATGACGTTTATTAATTTTCAACTTACTTAGTAGAGACAAAATGTCCTGACCTTGTCTCTCTCCATTATCATCTGATAAAAGTCATTTTGATACCTTTTTGGACCATGAATTTGTTAAAAGTCTGAAGACTTATGTAATTTGTAATATGCCTCAGCCCTGGTACACTTCAGTCTTTGAAGAGTTTTGATGTGTGTTTCATGATGAAGTGAATTTCCAAAACTTTGAGTGTAGAAGCTAACCTTGACACTTTAAGCAACTTTAATTTCTGTAGTGAGTGGTTTTTTTTATTTTTTTTAACTATCACATAAAACAATCGAATATTAACTTCTAAGCCATTTATCAATGGTATTTAATCATTTTTCAATCGCAAAATGTTACGGAATGGATGACACTATCTGTTATATTTTACTTAGCCTTATTGTAATCAATATTATTCATGGCTCTAAAGTTGCTCCAATATTTTGCTCCGTGGAGTGTTTTGTATCCAGAAATTTGTAAAGTAAACGTTTGAAGAAAAGGTTTATTGTCACGAGGAACAAGAGGTGTGTTGAGAATAAGCACAAAATTGTTCAAAGATGGAGGCATTAAACCCAAATTGATGGGAAAACTGCAAAAATGTGTAACTAGGTCGCGGTATATCAAAATCTCTGCTCTTATTTAACTTTTTAATAGGAGTCTGAATGTAACAGGAAACATTATGGGTTGAATTTTTTGAAGAGAATTCTTCACCGAGAAAAAATATCACTGAAGTTTTTAAAAAATGACGTTAAGTATTTTTCAATGTAAAAAATGAAGTATGACAGGGTCTGCACCGCTGCAAACTGGGATACGCATTTCTGCTGTTTCACCATTAAAATATTGTCTTGGGTCAGATATTGCCAACTGTCATCCATCTTTTCTATTAGTTGGCATTCATATTTCAAGTCCCTTATTCCTTTTTTCCTTCAATTTTTTATTCAAAAATATGGACAGAACCTTTCATGTCACTTGAATTTACAAAAATATTTGGCAAGAATGATCAAAATTATTGTGAGTCCCTTTTTCTCTAGATCCAAACAATGTTTCCAACAAAAATTTACCAGGAAGGTGTGGAAGTCACTCAGTTCTTCAAAGTTTGAAATTTCAATTTTTTTGCAGCACTGTTTTTTTTTTCATGTTTCCTACTCATGAATGAATTGTAGAAAGATGTACAGATTAATAGCTCACAAAAAACCGTGGAATTTTATGAAAATTTTCTGCCTCTCATGAATAGAAAGAGTGACGTATAATGAGCAAATTATTTTCACACTGCAAGTGAAATTACAATTTTTTCAGCAGTTTAAAACTGAGTATGAAGCAGTGTGCTGAACCTTAAGCATTTATCAACAGTTTTTTATACTTTACATGGAGAGATGAGGTATTACTGAATAAAATGTAGGTAAATAATTAATTTCTTCTCCTCTCAAACACTTGTTTTTTAAATGGAGCTATCGATTTGTACCTATATTTGTGTCTCTTCACTTTTTGAAGTTTGAGGACTTTATCTCTGTGGGGAGAAGTCTTCAAATGAAATATTTAAATTTTGACTGATGTGCTTTTACTCATGAAAAAGAAAGGACTGATTCTAAAGGAGCACAAGTTCCTATACGTTTAAAAAATGTATCAACTGAAGGAAGCGCAAATTATTTTCTTAAATATTTAACAAAAACTAAACCCCTTCTCAAGTTATCAAAAAGTATCTTAATTTTTAAACAGGCACATTCATTTTGTTTCCTACCCTTTCGTTGTTTTTGCATGTTGCCACATGTAACAATAATCTGGTCGGTATTAATGTGTGTTAATTTCTTGATGTGGGGTGGATCCTTGTATTTTAATCAAGAAAAACTAATTTTGTTCTAATTTCTATGAGACCATCACTAGAGCTGCTGCCTTTGTATTAAAGTCTGTTATTTTAATCCTTAGGGTTACAGAATGTGACCTTCACATATTCTGCATTTTGCCCCTCAAATTTTGCCATGAACTATTCATACTTTTTATGGGTAACTCCGGATTAAGTAAGTTAAATGAAACAAAATACAAAAGAAGTAACTTAGAGTAAAATGTGATGAAGTTAGAGAAAATGAGACAGCGAGTGAAGGGGTGAAACTCGATGGAACCATTTTACTCTGTCTTTAAAAATAGGATCATTATCGTTTGCTCTGAAGAAAACTCTTGATTTCAGAATATGATTTGAACACTCCCAAAGTCTTCAGAGTTCTTAACAGCAAATTTTGCGGAGCCAATTTTTATGGACAGTGAAATATGGTTCGCCCGACTTTAACCCCTTTGCCTTAAGGCTCCTTTTTGCTATGTCCATACTACATACACCCAATAAACTTTTTTGAGTGACCATCTGTCTTGAGGATTTTCTGCACCCTAAATAAATTCATTTGTATCACTTTATCTCTCTTTCTCTCTCTTTCTTCTGTATTTTTTGTAATCATCGTAGCTTAATTGAATTATTATTAATTCTTAACGCTATATCCTGTACAATTCAATAATAAGTTGTTTTTTTCAACAATATCTCCATAAGAAATGTATATTTTTCGTTGAGTTCTTTAACAATGGTTTTCTTAAGCAAATAGAACAACAGTCATGCTTGCAAAGAAATTGTTGAGAATTTACCAAGTTTTCTGTGCATTTGTTGAATGTAGGTACCTATATATATATATAGGTTCATGTGTTCATGCAGTTTTGCTCAATCGGTTATTTTCAGTGCTAATGCAAGCTTTCCATTGATTTCAAAATTAATTTCCCAACATTTTCTTTTTGAATTGCAAACTCATTTTCAGTTGTTGCCCTGCCAAAAAAGTATGCAAAATGACGGTAATAGCACGGACATAGCAATGTATATTGCTTTTTTTTAACCGTAGGTAGTTCTCTAAAATATTCTGAATTTTTAACATAATGTCAGCACTGCGCTCTTATCCATCAAGGTTTTCTTGGCGATCTATAAATGAACTTATTTTACAAAGTTATTTTCTAATAATTCCAGAAGCTCTCCCCGTATGTTCTCAAGATGTCCCCCCCCCCCCCCCCCCCCCNGAAGTGGGCTACCTTGAATTAGTTATGATTTTAAGTTTTTGAAAGCTAACAACATTCTGAAGAAGGTATTTTTATCGTAACACCTTCCTTTGTTTTAATTCTTTAAATTTTATTTGTTTGGCTTACTTTTTATTCTTCGGTCCTGATTTTTTGTGTCTATAAGATGATGATGATCATTTTGGACCTTGCTGGTGCATCCTCAGGTCACACTTGGCACTCGCGAACTTGCGAACTTGTCAAAAAATGTGGCACTCGCGAGTGCCAAGTGTGACCGGAGGATGGACCAGAAAGGTCCGAAATGATCATCGTCATCCTATACACACAAAAAATCAGGACCGAAGAATAAAAAGCCAAACAAATAAACGTATCCACCTGATAAAGAAATGAACCCAGCCAAAATCTTTAAATTTTAGTCAATATCGAAGGGTTAAAGCCTTACAGTGCTGCATGAATTTCCCTTCAGTTGAAGCCACAAAATTCCTTTGGAAGAATCACAATTTTGTGGTAATAATTGAGGAGGGCTCTAATACCTACTTATTTTTTTAAAAGAAATTCATTCAGTTTCGAAACTGAATGAGTGCATATTTTTATATTGAACTTCATTGACACTTCACATCTTTGATGACTCTTCCTCCAGGGTCTTCTATTTTTCTGAACTTTTTTATGTTTTCTTGAAGACAGGTCGTGAAAAATTTTGATAAAATGTGAAAAAAACTTGGAACCAGGAATTTTGTTAAATTGTTTGCCACTGTGCACGGTTGTTTTCTGAAATTCTTCTTTAAGGCTTTTTGTTCTTCTGCAACTGTCTCTCATCAGTTGGGTGAGTTTTGTTTAAATTTATCGGCTTTCATCGATTTGCTGAGGCATAAACTTTTTTTACCAATTTTACTGAACAGCTTCTTTTCTTCTCAAACTGCGGCTGTTTCAGGTTTGCCTCCGTTGTCAGGTTTTTAAAACACAGCCATCCCTGGCAAAGTAGATCATCTTTTTTAAAGAGAAAGAAGAGCCTACAATAAAATTGGTAAGAAAAAGTTTATATCTTAACCATTATCTCTTACCATATTGTAACGGAAAAGTACAAGAAGTTTACCGCAACTTGAGGACTTGTCACATTTCCTTTTTCAAAGTTTCAACTTTAGAAATTTTGGTTTTTCATGTTGTTGTGATTGTACTTTACCTTCTTTTTAGTTTTTAAATTGAATGACTGAATATTTGATAGTTTCATGATTGAAAAATGGTCGCAGGCACTGTCTTTTTTTTCTTGTCACCACGCTTAATTCTCATAAACTAATATTATTTTTTATGCACCTTGCAATCGGATGTCAGGTACATGCATTTATCATTATGTATAATGACTGACCAACAAGGGGAGGGTAAGTTACAATGACCTCTAATCTCAGTGTGGGTTTTGCAAGAAAATATCCAATTATTTTAAATTACCAAGAGGCCGATCATAAAATACAAAATGGTAAATTTTGGATTTCTTGAGCCTCTCCCTCATATCGCTTTTGTCTTATAGGCCCATATCCTTGAACATATAAGATGTAAATGGTTTAACCCTCTTCTCAACCCCCTCTCCCCCCAAACGCTGCGTATTTTATGAACAGCCTCCAAGAAGTTGCCAATTAAACTTACGCGTTTTAGTTTTTATCACTGAATTCATGGGCGACCCTAAAAACTGTGTGGGATATCTTTCAGTCAGCCTCAGAAGTTTCTCAAACATGTAATTCCCGGTTTAAGTAATAGTGATTGTTGTATTATTGAGCTACAGCTCCTGATCAGTCTTGAGGACAGCAGTATGCTGCTAACATTAAGTGCTAAGGATACTGAGCGCAAATCCCATGTGTAGTAGATGTAAAAAACAATACTTAAACTTGCATCTTACGGCTTAATGGCAACTATTTTCCCTTATGAAACTCATTAAAATAGAGGCAAATGTTTCTGATCCTTTTCTTGTGAGGTCACTGGAGTCGACTTTTCAGTTTTCTTCCTCTAACTTTAATGTTTGTACATTTATGAAGGTTCTCAATGGTTTGTTATTAATTGGTCATCCATCACACCTCATTATTTTTGTTTAAATTTTAGAAGTTGTGGATATCTTGTTGACCGAATTATTTCTATCCTTCAGATTTATTTGTGTAATAAATGCGATTCCTATCAAACCATGTCTTACTTTTTTATCCACTTAATCTATTTAACAAGTTGACTATAGCAATTAGAAAGGATTTTGCAGAAGTAACCTGACAGCGTATATTTATACGCCCAAGGCTGTCAGGATCCTTGTAGCATCAATTTAATTTTCAAAATTTTGGTGCTGGTCTATTTGCATCATGACCGAAATGGATCGATTTTCGAAGCAGAAAAATGCGAATATCTAAATCGTGCGTTGTAGAGAAAAACGGACGAAATTTTCTAGCCTTCCTTAAGTTCTGGAACTTGGCACCCCCCTCAAGCCCACTGGGTCAGCGAGGCCCTCTAGACTCAATTTTAATATTCAAAATTTTTGTGACAGTGGATTTTTTCTTACCCAGAGACAAAAATAGACTCAATGGAATACGACATTGGGAACTTATTATTCTGGGTCGAGATCAATAAAATGAATTAAAAGCAGAAAAAAAAACAATGGACAATTTGTTGAGAACATTTATATTTAAATATCAATTATAAAACAATAACATAACATTCAACAATTTTTATCACATTAAATATTCGACTCAAAAGTGAAGCTTTGTTACATGTAAGTATAAAAAATAACTCTTATAACACATATATCAACACTTAATTACTCATCTTAAATACTCAGAGAAATATGACTAAGTATTTGCTTTCTCCGAACAGTCTTTGTAACTTAAAACTACCTACTAGAGCAAAATTTACAGAAAAATTTCTTTTCATGTACAAGTTGTAATTACCTATTCACGTTAGCATGAATCGTCACAATAGAGCTGCAGGCATAAAATCTGGAACAGAGAGGAGAAAAAGTTTCAGTGAAACCACAGAAGGTGAAAAATTCCTCAAACTGAAAAAAAGTACACAAGTACATTAAAATATTATTAGTGCCTGGAACAAAAGAAAACAATGCACTGCAAATTATCTTTCAGCATCAATCCAATATAAAATTGTCAAAATGGATGAGCGATCCAGAAACTGGATGCATACAGGCCCACGAGGGTGTTGATATTCCAACTTCGCAGTTTTAAACAGTGTGACTGTAGCATTAATTTAATTGAAAATCTTAATAACTTCCTATCCATTACTGAGAAACATATAAAGATCTTTGCACATTACACAACATTTATTGGCAGGGAAAAATATGTCATTCATGGAATCAGAATGCGAATAGTCCCAAATGCTGCGCTAGCAAAATGAAGATAATACCAATGATTTTCAATTATTTAAGAACATGTGAACAGCATCTTTACATCAAACTTCAATTATTATCTGCTTAAGAAAAAAGTGTAACGAAAAATTTATAAAAACTATTAAATAGCCTCATGGGATCCATCAGTGGTTTCCGTTCAGTAGGTATATGTAAATAGCGCAAGGAGCTTCTGGTCAAGGTACGAATTTGTTTAGATGCGATTAATAAATTCTGCTACATTAAATTAATAAATACATTTGTATAAATTTTGTTAAAGCCTGACCAATTTGCATGCACATGTTTTTCTCCCCTGATTTTTAAATTTCATTTTCTTAATTTTCTTGACACGTCAAAGCTTGAAACATTTTTCTTTGCACCTTCTTTTTACCCCAGCAATATTTGTTTTTCAGGAGCAGATCATACATTTATGGGGCAAACTATTTAAAAATAAGAATTAAAACTTACAAAATGAAAAAGGCTGCAGTAATTCTTCTAAATTAAAATACTCGAATGTCAGCAAAATAGAATCAGAATCAAGCCTTTCTTCAGCATTCACATACTCCATCAGCACTACCAGTCAAGCAACAATCCTGTATTGTGATAGATAAAAAGAAGAATATTAAAAATAGAGAAGCATAAAATATTATTCTTCAATTTGACCTTATTTTAAAATTGATGAATTTTTAGGTAATTAATAAAATGCAAGCCCAACATGAATGCCAACGAACAGTTTGATAGCAAAAAAAAAAGTGCACTACAGCAACCCTTAAGAGTTGGAGGGGAGAATACATATTTGTAGAAGGATGGCTGTGGACAACTATGACTCTGGTATCAATCTGCAATTTAATGATATCTCCTATAGGTAATGGGATTGAATTTCAGGATACCTAATGTTCGTTTTTTTTCTGCCCAACAGAGGAGAAAAGAAGAAAGTGGCCGGGGGTAACATAAAAATTGCAGATGATAACTTCCTTGCCTCAATTATGCAGTATTAGAAAGCACAGAGAAAAATTAAACATCGCGCAAATGCAACAGCCCACACAGCCACCATTAAAACTTATTTGAGATCTAAAGTTGAAGATAAGAAGCCAGTGCCTTTATTTTTTCACACCCAATTCAGTTAAGTTCATGGTAAATTTGTCGACGGATACTTCTTAAGAATCCTTAATCATCCTCGATTACTAGTTGATTTAGTCAGAAAGTCAAGAATTTTTAGACAATCCAAAAAGGTTAAGGAATTTTCCTTAAATTTCAGGAAAAACTTGCATGTCGATGGCCACATGCAGTGCAAAATCATGTGCCTCTGTTTGCAATATTGCAGACTTCCTCTCATACTTCGTTTTTTCTTCGGAAAATTGGTCAACGAAATTTTTTAAAAACTTCCTTGACTTCACTGCTTTGTTGGCAGAATGTTCTGTATAAATTCTAAAATATAAAGTTGGTTTGTTTCTTTTAGAAATAATAGTATAGGAGCGGAAATTTTGAAACACAACGATATGCAGTTTCGCACTTTGGCCATCGATGTATATAAGTGACTCAAATCAGGAGTTTACTTCAAGAGGAGCGCAAGACAAAATAGTTATTGACCAGATTCAGGAAAATTAATTAATAACAAAATAATTGCCCTCTCCATGATAAAATTTCAAAATTTACACTAAATCTTAACATTAATTTATTTTAACAGAGGCAAAGACGGCTTCATTTTTTTAAATTTTAGTCATGGCTGCTCTGAGGAGCGTTTAAAATTCTGTTATGTATTGAACTCTCATCTTTGATACGATGTAATGATAAATTTTTGAGGTAATTATGTAAATAGTAAATTGCATTTTAGAGGGATAAAAATCCAAGTAAAATCCAACTCAGTTTGTAGGCTGTTTTACCACCTCCTGATGACTTCATCCTCTTGACAAAACTTTCAATGCTGTTCCGCAGATTTTGAATCTAATAAAATAAATTCCATTGTCTGAATAACATTTTCAACTATGGTGGCATATTTTGGAACTAAAAATCTTGATCTCTGGTTAGAGTTTAACAGGTGTTCAAAGTCAAATTTCACCTGAAAGTTAAATCCGATCAGGATGAAACCTCGACTTTCAATGGCTGCAGCTATCCAGAGAGTAAGAGTGACTATTTTACATCTTTTGAGCTGACACGGGTAGAGACAATAAGTAACTAGCATCAAAGGCTACCTCTCTGCGATTTTTAATGCTCTATAGAACTTCAAATTTGGTCCGGTAAAACTATGAAAACGGGGATTTCTCTGGACTCATCTCCTGTTCCAATCAATCCAAAATTTAACAGTTTGTCATCGGAACGTTAGCCACTGCATCTTTCGTCCATCAGAATGAGGTGCCTGACTGAATGATTGTTGAGCCTTATATAAAACTTAACAATAGGCATGTAATACATAAAAAGTTGATCGTGAGTACCTACTTTGATAATCAGTGGGATTTCACTGCGGTGCATGGAAAGGTTGAGTTATATTTGGTCAAACCATGCGGTTATACCGCTAAATTTTGTTTCAAAGTGTGACTTGCGTTCAGTTGTTCATTATTTTCTGAGGAATCTGATTATACAATCAGACCACTCTAATTCACGATCACTTACATTAAATATGTTGTACAAGCTACTCATTTCCCCTGATGGGCCATCTTTGACATGATTTCTAACAGGCTGGATAATTTGAAGAATAATGAAAGATTCAACTTGCAAGCATGCTTTAACTTGCCATTTCTTAATGGTAAAATGTATTCTGCTAGGTTTTTCTATGAAGTTCTAACATCGTAAAAGCAAGTAATTACTTGCAATAAACAATAGATGTAGAAGCTTACATACTGGCGCACAATGAAATTTTAGAATCTGTGCTCAGAGGAGGTGGGTTAAAAAAAGCACTCAATTATAATTCTAATAGACCGAGGTAGAAATTAAAAATTTAAAGTTGTGAAGAGTGTCAAAAAACTCAGGGCAGTGACTTGACGATTCTTGTTACCAATTGTCTCCATCCCTTAATGTAAGGCATTGAAAATGGATGAACTTTACTTTCTGGGCAGCTGTCATACGAGAAAGGTTCTGAGTGAGGAAGGAGAATCAGTTTTTAAAGTAACAAAAACGGATAAAAAAATTAAAGTGCAAGTTAGTGATTTGATTTTGAAATTCAATTATCTGGATTTTTTATGGGAAAAGCTAGAAATTGCACTATAAGCAAATAAAACTGCTCATGCAAAAACTCTGATCAATCTATCTTAAAATAAAATGAACTATTACGACCACAGTTCAATAAGTGCAAAGCAAAAGTCCAATACCTACACACACATAAATTTAGGACTGAGCGGTAAGAATTGTTAATCTTTTCGTATCCTAATTAAATCCTCATTACATAAATAGTGCGACAATAAGATCACTTATCGCAATTTTAATTAACAAATACGTATTACCACTGATGCGTCATTTAGTCTTCCAAGACGAAACCAACTAACGTTCTTGCATAAACTTAACGGAAAGAATAAATAAGGCACCAAATTGAAATCATATAAATTTACAGAATATTAATTGAATGAAATTAAATAATATTTATTCTTTGACAAACTGGACATGGAAAAACCTGTCCTGAAAACTCAAATTAGAATTTTTTGGGCATTGAAGAGCTGAATGTCTAGGACCCGACCAAAGACAATTTACTTTTCTAAAAAATGTTCCTTCTTGCACCAAGAGGATATTGATGGCCAAAGTTCAAAACTAGTGACTACGTAACTCCATTGCAATGTTTCAAAATTTCCGCTCCTATTTTATTTTTTCGAAGAGAAGCAAGCCAACTTTAGAGCTTGAAATTGATACAGAATGTTCTGCTAACATGGAAGAAAAGTCAAGAAAATTTTCAAGAAATTAAGTTGACTAGTTTTCAAAAGATAGGAAGTCTGCAACGTTGCAAACGAAGATACGTAGTTTTGCAGTTCGGCTGTCGATATGGCAACATGAGATAGTCGGAAAACTGAACTTGAACATGCATTAATTAAAATAAAACAAGACAAGACAAGAAAAATCAATACAGAAGAACACCCTCATGCAAAAAAGTTAGAGATCCGGGGCCAGGAGAGAGAGATGAAGAGACTACATTGTAGATATAGAATAGAATGAATGGAGATTGAAGCGATAGAGATTGGAAGGAGAGAAGAGAACTTACAATCATCACAGTGTTAAAAGACTTTCTAGTGCTGAAACACCAAGACACCACTTAATTAATGAAAAGATCATTACCATGCTAACCTCTAACTGCTATTGAGCAAAAGATAAAAATCCAATTCCCTCTTCCCATTCCTCCAGGTTCATGGGTCCAAAGCATTCGTCTAAGAATGCTTCCATTGATCGCAACATATGCAGTTGAACACCAGAGAGGGAATTGCCTTCGTCTGGATACGTCTGAAAATTCAAAAATCAAATACATCTGTTAGTTATCTGAGCCAATACCAATTGAAGAGTTGAATTATTGACCAATTGAATTATTCCACTGATAAAAACTTGTACTAGCATAAAAAAATAAAAGAAAGATTGAGCATCATTGGAGGGTCAAGATCTATTCACATTTAGCATTATGAGGGAAAAAGTTTCCATTTTAAGAATAAAAATTATTACTCAGATTATCCAAACTAATGTGGTGGTTGGCTGGTTTGGATAACGGAAACTACAAATAATGCAGAGATCACTTTGATTGGCTTAATTTGACACTCTACATTCTTAACTCGTGGAGAGGTAAACAAAAATTTGAAATATAATGATGTATTAAATATTTGCAAATAAAATATACAATAGAACGGATTATGTACATAGTTAGGGTTTGCTCTACCAGCCAATGTAAATTAAAAATACAAAAAACAAGTTAAAAAAAATCAGTCCTCTGAAAAGTTAGTTTCAATAATCCATTCGGAGTTTGAGTAATCCAAGGTTTAGAGTATCTATGGCCAAAGTGTAAAACAACATATCTCCGTTTTCAACGTTGCAGACTTCCTAATAGACTTTATTTTTCTTTAGAAAAATAGTCAAGACAATTTATCGAGAACTTCCTTGATTTTTCTACTCCGTTAGCAGAATTTTCTGCATAAATTTTAAGCTTTAATGGCTTGTTTTTCTTTAAAAAAATAAAATGGAAGCAGAAATTTTGAAACACTTCAATGAAGATACGTAGTTTTGCACTTAAGCCATCTATCACCTTCTGAGCTGTCTAATCGGGGTTTGAGGTAGTTTTGAGCTCAACCTCGCCGCAGATAGAATGCTGAAAATTATCAGCAGGCAGATGATGGCCTTCGGTACACAGTGTTTCCAGAAAAAAAACAAATGAAAAGGCTTATAAAAAGGCAAATAAACGGTTGATGGCCTCATTGTTATTAAGATCAAAATGAGATGAGTAGCTTGACGGTCATAGTGACAGTTAAAAAAGGAGAAGAAAAGGGTGAATTTCTGATACGAAGCTGCTTCAAATTGAAAGTGGTTACCATTTGATCAAAAAGAATATCTTCATTTGTTAGTGCTCTGGAAAGTAACATGGACTGCTCGTAGGACACACTCTGGTCTGCTGATCCATGGATTATCAACAGTCGTTTTTCACCTAGAGTTCCGATCTTTCTCGTCAAATCAGATTCTTCGTATCCTCTGTAGTTGTCAGTCACATTGGGAGTTCCCATGATTCTTTCTGTCCAGAAAGATTCTGGAAAACAAAAGAAAAAATTTGAGGAAAAATATAGCGAACATGATCTTAATACTATTTTTGTTACGAAGAAGTAATTTTGACTCCAAAACTTTTTACGAAATTATAGGTGAGATACAGATTTTTTACTGCAAATGCTCTGAAACAAAAGAGATTCTCAGTTAAATCTAGCTGTGATCAAGTGACTGTACATCTAAATGGAATTGTATGCAAAAATTTAAACTTTGGCACATTAGAACCGGGTAGTTTCACACATACATCTTTGATAGATCACACGTTTTTTAAAAGTGAAAAGTAATTAGAGATTTGGTATATAACAATAGAAACGGTCATTCTTTAAAAGACTTTTAAGTGCAAAAAAATCAGAAAATGAGTTTTTGGCGGTTTGGCATTGCTTAGGCATAGATGCATTTTGTTGCCAAGTGAAAAGAAGAGTTTTGAAGCCTAAAAAAACTTTGAAAACTCCAGTCATTCTCAGAAAGAGTCAAGTGTCTAAGCGCTATATAATACTCACTTATCTTGATTTGTAAGTAAGTTCCAATTCGTGTAAATAGATACAAGACGCATGATTCTTGTGGTGGTTTAGTTAAGTTATTTTTAAATGAAAAAAAAAGTTAGTAAGTTATGATTGTATTTTATGTAAATGAAAATTGCCATGCAAATTTTATTGCGGCTTGAAATACTAAAAATTTGACTGTCAATGAAGACATTATGTAGAAATGAATCCATTCATTCTCATAAAGACTCAAGCGCCAATTCTTTTTTTCTTCTTTTTCTGTTCAAATTGTAGGAAAAAACTGCAACAGTCATAATCTGGTTTTAATCCGCTACATTTTCACACATTTATTTGCCAGATCCCCGAGATTTAGAACAGGTCGTTTTAAACAATTTTCACTGTTTCCCTCCAATGCTCAATTTGGTGCTCAAGTCTTTTTGAGAATCACTGATTCAATTTTTGATCCTGTTGAAAGTGTGAGGTGAAAAATAGAAAAGATGCAGGAAAAGAAAAGATAATTTTTTTTCAATATCTCAATCAAACATAGAATGAATGGGTAACAAACTGGGAGGCTAAAATAGATAACGTATCTGTCATCGTTTCCTGAATATTGGACAGGTTAAAAAGGATTTGTACTGTCAGAAAACAGTTCCAGTTCGGCTAAAACTTTATAAGGGTGGGAATTCACTGATGATAGATTTTCTATTAAAAAACAGTACTTACGATAATGGGCAAAATTAGCAATTGGAGCAATAGCTATGCCAGATTTGAAAACGCTACCTTCGTGGGCTAAAATCATTGTTGCTAAGAATCCGCCATACCCTTTGCCCCATACGCTGATACGATTCCTGTCGATGAATTTCAAATTGTCCTTTAAATACCTATAGATGTAAAAAAGAGGATACTGAGTATTAGTGAGATATAAAATTTCACGTTGGAAAAAGAAAGATGCTGGAAAAAATTAATTAATTATCTTGAAATAATGACAATGCAGAAATTTTAATTTCTTTTCTTTCTTTTTTTCCACACTTCAAATACCTCCTAGCTAGTATTATTGCGCTTTTAGTTATAGTCCCATCCTCCTCAGTCCCTCCTCAACAATCACCCTTGGGCAACCACTACTAAAGACTTTCAAACTCAGGTCATCTGATTAGGAATCGAACCCGGGACCTCTTGATTAAAGAGCCAGCGCAGTAACCACTACATTATAAGCGGCCAATCTGCCACAGTTAAATTTGACTCACCAGCCTGCTGATAGCTGAATCAATAGAGAATTTGCATGCAAATTTTTTATTGCTTCATCTGAAAGTGCTTAAAGAGCTGATATCACAGTATTTTTTATCTTTTTTTTCTGATATGGGAGATGGTATAAAAATAGATTTAAAAGTGAGAAAATGCACCGCCTAGTGACTTCATCTGGTAGCATTTCCCATTTAAACTCACGTATTTTAGCAGATTAGATCATTTTGTCATATCTTCTCGAATAATTGCTCAATTCATGAACCAAGGGTATCCTCGTGTTCAGTTCACTCAGTAGTTTCCACTTAAACACGAAAATCATCAAATTTCAGACACCTGCAAATTCTCAATTCTTTTTTATGTTGGCAATATGTATGTAGGCGTTTTAGATTGGGAAAGAAAGTTTTGTGAAATTCAACATCATTGAATGATTCACATTTGGCTACGGGCAGCCAGTTTTCACTGATTCTAATGTCAACTGAAAACACCTATTTCTCACTCAATAGTCTATTTTGAGCTTATTTAACAAGTTTAACATGTTTTGCACTAAGTTCTGATGCATCTTGAAGTGATTTAGTTTTCACCCTGTCTAGTCCACCCTTAATAAATGCATACATATACTAATACACTCTAACCACTGACATGGAGGGGAGAAAACAAAATATATCTACTTACGTTATAACTGCTAGCTGATCTTCTACATCTACAGATCCAACTCTGCGATAAATTTGTTGCGTCATTTGACTACCTTGAAATCCTGCGCCTCTTCCATCTATCCGAGCTACAATAAAATTTCTTTTGCTTGCCAAATATGTGTCCCAATCGACTTCCCAGCGCTCGTTTACAAACTGGTCACCGGGTTGACCTCCTCTGCAGAGAAAAAACAAACAAATTATGAAACATATACCCGATCATGAAAAAGAGAAAATTTTATCGCAAAAGAGAGTAAAAATATTTGCATTTACATTGTACTGAGGCATTTTCACCACCAATGAAACCGTCCACAGGAAAAAGGATCTTGGTATGAGGAAACAAACATTTTAAGGGAGCGATTATTGAAAAGTTGGGCTGAAAACTGCAATTTGAGCCTTGACAAAGAACACTATTTAGGATTGGAAAGAGTAAGTTGCGAGTGGTTAAGCTCTTTTTAGTATAAAGAGCATTACTTTCATTCCAGCATCATTCAATCTGATGTACATCAATCCAACAACTTTGAGTCACAAAAATGGCAGATGGAAACATGAGGACATTGAATTGTCTTTCCTCCAAACTATGACTTAGATACCGCATCCATGAACTCCAGTTTAGTTTGACATATTAGGGCCTTTTTTGTGCTGAAATGTTTGAGAATTGTGAAAGACTCCTCCATGCAATGTGCAAATGACTCAATGGACCACTAGACATGGTAATAATTTAAGCATTCTAATACATGTTTCTTAACCAAAATTTCACGTAGAACACGATTCGCGCAACGAAAATTACTAAAACCAACTCCTAACAAATATATTAACCTTTTTATTTCACATTAGTTACGAGGAATTTGAACTGCCCGCTCACAAGAAACTCAAAGCTCTACGTGAGTCAAACCACCCACTACAATCGTTTCAGCAAGCTTCTCAATCGAGCAATGTTCATTTCCCACCATGTGTTGTTCAAACTATAAGCAATTCGCTATAGCTGAGCCAAAGCGTCAAGACTTCGGTTGCCGGAATTTTATATCGCTGAGACGTTCATGATAACGTTTAGCGCGCGATGTGAATCACGTAGAGCATTGAGTTTTCATGAGCGGGTGGTTTCAATTCACGCATCAAGAATCATTAAATATCTTTGTAAGGAGTTAATTTCGGTAATTTTCGTTGTGCGTACCGTGTTCTACGTGAAATTTTGGTTAAGAAACATGTATCAGAATGCTGAAATTCGTACCTTGTCTAGTGGTCCATTTCTAATTTTATGGAAATTAAGACCCTTCCCTTTTGGACTAACACTCACAAGTGGACTGGATCTAACAGAAACGGTCACAGTTGCATTTTTGAGAAAAATGAGTAAGGAGTAGTTCTGAATTCAGCTAGACGTAAATATTTTTTGTCAAAAGTTCAAAGTCAAGAAAAATATTTGAACACTAAGAATAGTCGTTAAACTTAATCCTTAACATTGAGTCTTATGGATGGATTATTTTCATCCTCCTCTGTGGGTTTACAAGGGGGGTTCAGAAAATTTTTCAAACAGATTTTTCATTTTTTAACAAATCAAAATTTTCTACTTACTTGTTCATTAAGTATAAAAGACCTAATCTAATTTTCAAAGTAGCATTTCGGCACTTGTAAACGTCTATTACTGTGTTGCTGTCCACGTTATACAAAAGTGGGAGATTTAGATTTTCTGAGAGGTTCTGTAAATAGATTTTTCTAAATTCACTGTGCATAGGGCACTTGAAAAGAATATGATTGAGGCTCTCTTCTTCAAGTATGTAACATAAACTACATGTATCATTTAAATTTACTTTATATGATACTTGTGGAAGTTAACGAGAAGAGTGTTCATATTGCAATTTCTTAGCTTGAGTCTCATGTAGGAATATTTTAACTGTCTTTTTCTGAGTTCAGACTTGATGCGTTTCTGTAAAACTCGGACTAAATTATCATCATTCACTGAGTGCATGTTTGGAAGTTGGAGATAAAAATACAGATGTCTTGGCATGAAGATCACTAATGAGAACATCAAACAAGCCATCTGAATTAGGTATCTGCTTTCGCCATTTTATTCACAACTCTTACTGGATGCATTGCATTAAGCCATGAGACTGGAGCTACTACTAGCTTTGAGATTAGATGAGAAGCAATGATCAAAGGAAATAGTAAGATAAATTGTTTCATAAAGCTCGTAGAATCGTATTAAAGAAAAAAAGATTAATATACTTACACATGTAAAACAAGTGGAAAAGTCATTTCTTCGTATTCTTTTAGACCTGGGGGTAGTAGTAATTTTACTTGAGCATGAAAACCACTTTCTAATTCAACCTGTAAAATAAGGAAAGTAAAATTAAAAAACAAAAAAATAAATGTTTGGTATAAATTAAGTGTTTTTCCAAAAACTTTGGACAGAAATATTAGCATTTAAACGTTCAAGGTCAGTAGATGGGAGATTTGCTCACATTGTTGACGAGTCAGGTCAATTTTTAACTTCACACATCCATCATGTAAGATGCCGCTAAATTTCAGGCCGATTCAATTTTTGAAAAATTTTGAGTTTATTTCCTGATATTTTGAAGTCTGCTCTACGAGTTGATAGCAAAAACTTTTGTTTTGAATACGGAGAGAAATTTTGTTCGCTAAGACCCCCAAAAGATTTTGGTTTTTATTGCCGAAGGATTCAGGTGTTTCCACCAAAACTTTTGAACTTTTCATGACAGCAAAATACTCTGAGCGCGGTCAACAGGCTTTGATTGATACACCCGAACTTTTCAGCAATGATAATAATTTGTTCAGATAACCACAGTTTCCAAAATTCAGTAGATACTCAGAGAAATTTCTCTTTATGAGGATGAATGGAATTGCTTTTCAATAAAAAAAGTGTGAGCTTACTTGCATCAGTTCAATCATTAGAAACCCAAGAGTTAAATATTCTTTTTAAGTCTAAGAGAAAAGAGAAAATTGATTGAGGCAGCTACAGAGCAGCTAGAGTACAGAGAGTGCAAAACATGTGCTATGTGAAATGTTAATGAAAAAACAAAAAATATATTGCTTTAATTTGCTGCTTGTCTATTGGTCCATTCTTTACCACCGTCAGAAAGTTTATCTACAAGGCTTGCTAGTCCTTAAAAATAACTTTTTTAGTCTACCAAAAGACAGGGGTGCAGAAAATGCTCGATCATGCGTCCTGGCAAGCGTGTGAAACTGTAAGGAGGCCCTAAAAATGAGGCAGTTTCGTAAAAATTTGAAAGGTCAAAAATCAAAGGGAAAAAAAGGGTCATCACTTTTAAAATTGGCGGGAAATTTTGTAGAGAGCCAATGAGCAAACTGTGGGAAGCTGACGGATGGACAAACGAGCGAAAATGTTGAAGATTGAGGGATTCTGCACCCCTGTCACGAAATTACTCTTCGTATGGTTGTCGTGAACAGAGCTTTCTGCTTTTCGCATGATTTTCTCAAAAGTATTCTTCAAAAGATTTCACGTTATAATCATACCTGAAACATCTTAATCTGGGGAATGGCCATTTTAGCATAACGGTCGGCAATAGCGCTATTATTATTAAGGCTAATCAGTCTTGCATTTCGAATGGAATCCATGAGCACAACAACTGGTACACCTGGACCTGAAAAACAATTTCAATAGCAAATGAATTATTATACTTTTACACTCGATCATGTGTTATACCTGCTCATTAACGTACATCCTACTTTGAAAGTATAACAATGAGCAAAGAGATACTTGGATAGAGATAAGTTAGTGGTAGGGGGAAGTGGTAAAATTAGACATAATATTAAGTTGCTGATGTCTCTTCTAAAGGGAATACACCATTGTATTGAATCCAGATTCTATTTTCAGGGTTAAATCCTGAAACCAATTTTAAGAGGTAAAAGGTACTGAAAGTATTGATTCGCTGATTTATACGCAGCTTGTCAAAGTTTAGAAAAAACAAGAACTAGGCAAGAAACCAGCTTCTTAGTGTTTTCCCTGTATGCCTTCTGAGCACAGAGAGTATAGAGGGATCCCTATCCAGTCAGGTTGCTAACCTTTTATACTCTCTGTCTGTGTATGAGAGATACTGTTTAGATTTGTATTGAGTCAAATTCGATTAACATCTTTGATAATACTACTGTGGTTAAAAAGATAAGGTTACTTATTTTTTTAGGGCCAGTTGGTGGGTACTGCCACCTAGAATACTTTACAAAATGCCACCCTTGCTGAAAATACTCAAAAAATACCATAAGAATTAAGCCCCCTGATAGGAGAATATGCCATTTACTTTCTACTAATTCAAAAACGTCAAAAGAAATTTTTGTGATTTGAGAAAGATGAATTTAAAGCAGAGATATTACATTAGAGCTTAACATATGACCAGAGTGTCTGCTAAAATTTCATTCTGGGTTTTTCTGATATTTTCTAGATTTTTCATAATATTTTCTTGATATTCTAAACAAAATTTACTGATTTTTTGCCCGAATAAATCGACACTTGTTTGATTTTACAAACCGACGTAGGTATTTGATGAACTGAATTACATGTCCTACTTTTGCATGTGCTAAACTGCAAGTAGTTGAAAAATGCTTGATGCACTTGAAGATTCACGATTTTTCCTAATGGTATCGTATTTTCTGATATTAATCGGTGGACACACCGATAAATAGACGAGGAACTTGGATACCAATAAATACAACAGATAGAACAATAACTGATAAAGCTTACCTAGACATTCTAAAATATAATACTTTGAGTTTGGACTAAAATGAGCTCTGTTGAAAAGACATGGGTTTGTTTTCTGAGTTGGGATAGATGTGTTTGTTTCTGTTTTCCTTTTGTCGAACTTCAAAGAGCCAGAAACTAGGTCGTCTCTCCAGATGCTCGTCTCCAGAAGATCTAATTTTGGTTCAGTTTCATTGGACGCTTGATTTGGAGTTGTTGATGAAGTGGAGGTACTGTTCATCTCGGAGGCCGGACAAGTAAGACACATAATGACAGGGTAAGAGGTACTGCTCGTGTTATCTGGTACTTTGTAGATATGCCTTTCTCCTGGCCTACCATATGGAGCAGCTTCAAAATACCTGTAACATTGTGTTTAAGACAGTTACAAGAGAGTAGTTTCTGCAATGTCAATTGAAATACATTCAGCAGAAGGGAATAAAACAGAAGGATTACAAAGTTTTCAAAATCGTGCAATAGGCCTCGACAAAGTAGGAGTTAAAGCACTACGTAACATGTAAATACATATAGGTCGCTTTATAACACTCCCTCGCGCTCTACGACACCTAACCTCCACTGCTCTCTGTCGAGCCACAACTCTTGGGGCATTGAGCACCTTAACATTTCTGCTTCAATCCCCTCCCTCCAACCTCTCATTGGGCAAACTCTGCGCTTTCTCCCAGGAGGAACCCAATCAAGTACCTTTTTCGGCAACTTGTCTCCTACCATTCTCTGAACATGACCATACCAAATGAGTTGTTTTGTCATAATGTCATGCACAATGGTCTGTTTGGCATCCATGATCTCCCGTACTGTCTCATTCCTGACACCATCCTTTCTGGACATACCAGCAGATCTACGCCAGAAGTCCATCTCTGTTGCCTCTAAAACCTCCCCGGCCCGCTGTTTCATCGGGCATACTTCACACCCACAGGTTACTATGCTCTTGACAAACGCGTTTTAGATCATTCTTTTGTTCTCTTTGGAGATCCTTTGGCCCCAAAGGACTCCATTTAACATGGCAGTTGCCATACCACCCTGCATATTTCTGTTTTTGACGGCCTGGTCCAATCTTTCATCCTGGGTCGCAAAAACTCCTAAGTATTGGTGAATATTGCAGCTTCCAATTTGCCGCCCAAATGGAACCAATGGTCTCAACATGGACCTACATAACATGTTTTCTCTTCGAAATTTGATGAAAAAAAGGATTCAAAAAATGGGAAGTCTGAAAATTATTTCCTTAACAAAATATAGGGGTTTGCAATCAACAACAGTTAAGTTTGCAAATTTACAAATGACGTCATGTTTGATTCAACTTCCATTTGGACAACACTTTGCAATTGGGAACCATAGTTTCTAGCTCATCTGTAAAAACACTTACGTGCATAGTGATACATTGTTTCTAAACCAAGCCAGAAATTATAGTTGGTCCTTCCTAATTGCAAAATATAGTCCATTTGATCTGCCTTAAAAATACTTGTTAAAACCTTGTTCAGGAGTTGGTTTCCGAACTTCTCGTTGTATACATAATTTTCTTTGTAAGATTTTGAAGAGGAAACATAAATTGTTTTCTTCTAGTTCAGACCATGTTTGGAGATTCATTGTTTATTTACTTTAAAATATACTAAATATATGCACAGTTGTACAGAGATACAATTCCAGTGATCATTATCCCTTAGAATTAACCATTTTTTAAGAAAAAAAATTAAAATCATTTGCTATTTAGTGCATTTTATTAGATAAGATTAAGATCCGCAATTTTAACAACACTTGCATTGATTCCTTTCTGTTATATTTGATCCAATTGAGAAGCCCCTCTTTAATTTCCTTGATTTTATCCATCTTTCCCAATTTTGATTTTTTTCCTGTATTTTTTTTACTGCTCATTTTCCATCAAAGAAAAAACATGATACAGTGATTTGTCAACAAGGTACACATAACTGATTAGGTCGCAGAGATTGCCACAATTCTCTATATGTACTAGGTATCGAATGGGAAACAAACACTTCCCAAGAAACTCAACTTCTACAAATTTTAAAACAAAAACCTTCACAGACACACATCAATGACCAAAGTGCAGAACAACATATCTGGATCGCGATGTTTCTTTCTGCTAAATTTTTATTTTTTTAAAGAGAGACAAGTTAACTTTATAGTTTGAAATTCACACTGATATTTTGCTGACAAGAGATGAAAAGTCAAGGAAGGTTTCAAGAAATTAAGATGATGGGTTTTCCAAAGAAAAAAATATGAAAGGAAGTCCAAAATCATCGAAATTGGGGATACAAGGTTTCCTCTTTTGGCCATTAATATAATTCAGGCTGAGACAGAATTTTCATCAATTTTATTCCCATTAACATGGAAAAATGATCTATAAAAGCGCATAAACGCTTCGTTAGAAGTGACAAGATTACGTAATTATAAATACTGGAATATAAATTATAAATATAATAAATGAGTCTTACACAAGTTTGTTTTCATGGTCCCATGATAAAAGTTTAGTGACTACGAATTGAGCATGAGTTACTGAAGTGACCACCTGCGTACTAATATTTACATGGCAGACGTGAGTAAAATAACCGGCACTCCCATCTAGAACGGGCAGCAGTGTCATGAAACCTGTTCCATCGGGCGAAAATATGATCGAGCCGTGAGGTTCCAGCCATCCTTCTTCCGATCTCTGCGTGTGAGACTGAAAGAAAAGATCACCAATTTCAAACAAACAAGTAAGAAAATCAAGCAGTTTTTGGGCTTCAATGAGTGCCAATCACTTACTACGCCTACAAATTTCAGTCATGGCACGGAATGCAGCACAAGAGTTTTACATTTTTTATTTCTTTGTTCCAGTAGTTCGGCTGAAATCAGATAAATTTTTACCGAAGGGTTCAGTTAATGAGGTCTGTTACAATCTTAGTTTGATGAAATGAAAAATCGGTAGCATCTATTGAGAAAATTAAAAGAGCATTTGCACGATAAATGTTGAGCAGTCACACAGTGCGTATAACCCACACAGCATTGAATTTCGATCGCAGCCCAATGTTGTCTCTCCTCTAACATGAGGGCATTTCTCAATTGCCGCGTGAGCCACAGGAGGCATTTTTTGTGTAAAGCAGGGTTCGCATGAGAATTGAGATGTGCCCTTACATCAGAGGGGCAACCACTTGTGAAGGAACGACCAAAGTTACTGCTTCAGACGGCAAATTTCAGAGATTGAGCAAAAATTAAGCTGATCCACGAGCAAAAAACTGTTAATTGACAATTGTGGATTAGGTATTGCAGGATCATAAATAATAGGTCGAACTTCAAACAACAACTTGAAAAACACACATTTCATGTTTCGGTAGACAAAAACCAAGTTACGTTAAACTTACATCTTCGCAAGAGGCAGTATTCACTGAACATATTTGTACGACTGAGAGATTCTGTCTCCTGCTCAGCCATACTATAGCTAATTTGTTGTTGGATGACCAAGCGACATTGATCAAATACGGCTCTCTGAAAAAATTAGAAAAAACCCACAGAACATAAAGTCATGTTTAATCCTAAGAAAGAAATTAACTGCTATGGAAGGCTTCTTTACAGGTGAAAAATTTTAAGGCAAGACCTGTCATTGGTGTGGCACAGCCTCCAAACTATCTGTTTCCAGCCTTGCAGTGATTTCAAACTTTGTAGTCTATTGCCACAAAAAAGAAGGGAATAAAAAAAAACGGAGGGTACAGAGCGAGACCAGGTGAGGAACTCGGTGTATTCCTTTCGGATTATTTGGATTTGGCGAGCCTGCGGGTTGATTGAATGCGCCGATATCCTGGAGTTTCAACCCTTCAAGGATATCCTTGACGGTCACTGACTCACCCCTAAACTCCTACTTTTTGGACTAAAGTGTTGCTCTAGATATAGCTGGGATTACACTTCTCGAGGGCTAAGCCTGAGTCTTTCCCCCCTCATGTCTAGAGAGAAACAACTTGAAGCTTTCGAGTGCACATTATTTGGCTGGTCTCAAACTTTGTGTCAAATAGGTATTTTTTGATCATCCTTTAACTAAAGGTTTGCCGATATGAGAAAGGGCGACACAAGGGAAACTTTTACCTGTTTCAGTTTGCAACTTTGTAAAATTTTCATCCAATTTTCACACTGTCACCAAATTAGGATCATTACATTAAAATCATATATTACATTATAAATCATATATTACATTAAAAAGCTGTTCCTTATTTATTGTCCCTTTATCAATAAAATCAATGAAAATTTCCCAGTGTGCCTACCTAAAAATTCTGATAGTTTTTTAAAAGAAAAATTAACGATCTAAAAATTCAGCACCATGTTTGAAGGACTTTATCTCATCTATGAAATAGAAATATTCATCAAGTATTACTCACTGAGGATCATTTTCGAGTATGGTGGGTTTTTTGAACCTGACGTGAGCAGAATCTCGGGATGACAAATCAACAAGCCATACTGTTGCAGTAGGATTTATGGTACCAGCCTATAATCATAAAACAAACAAAAAAAAATTACCTTTAATTATTAACAAAAGTAAAATCGAAAGATGACTGATTAATAATCCTGCTAGTCACAATAGAGCACAAAAAACCACTACCAAAAATGGAGAATTCATCAGCACACGCCTTCGGTCGGATCAAGCGACAGGTTACCCACTGACCAAGTGACCAAGCTCTGTTGACATGATAACACAAGATGCCTAAATGATTGAAAAGAGAGGGCTTTCATGTTCGACAGGAAAGTCAGTGACATTAGTGAGTAAGTAGGTACAACAGATCTAAGTTCGGTTTCAATGTCGGACATGTGGTTACTCATTAATATTTACCTGGGGCAGAGAGAATAGCGATTCGATGATAGACCGGCGAATTCGCAAAATTATAATAATTTACATTCGACGGACACATTTTCACTAGTTTTGTAGTAATTCAACCGTGTCGATCAGTTCCTTGGAGCCATGGAGCCTTTAAGTTGAAGTTGAAGGGGAATGCGATAGTAAGAAAAAAAACAATTCATGAATTAGGTTACGCCATGATATGTTTACATGCCGGTNGGGGGGGGGGGGGGGGGGGGGGGGGGAGTTATGGATATGGAGCTGTATTGGAATGGGTATGGTATACTCCTGAAATGAAGGCGTTTTGCATTTCGAATCTAGAATGAGTAGGTATTTGAATTTTTTAAGGAATAACGCCTCCCTATTTGTTGACCGCAGAGAGGAGGAGAAAAGGAGAAGAACACTTTAAAAATTTTGAAAATTTTCAGATTCAACTCATAATAATTAGGTAAGAGATCAGTGTTTGTTAATCACGATCCTCAGAATTCAAACTTCCCCCTTGTTTAAAACCAAAAAGAAACCAAGGCAATATAGTCTTTCAGAGCAATCTTTCATTCGGAAAATAATCATGATCACGAAGTTTCGTCAATAGTGCATTTAGTGCATCGCATGCCGCACGTTTAAGTTGCATTGCGAGCTATAACCGCGAACGCAAACGTAAAGAATCCTCCGAGAATTTAATCTCGTAATTGAGGGGCTTGGAAGACGACGCGCATAAGTGCAGTTTTTACTATTTCGGAAAAAAAAAGAGTTTAAAGTTCTGCATTTTACTCAGGTCCATATAGTGCTCCAAATACATTCAAAATTTACAAGTTTTTGTCTCATACCTTCATGAACGTCTTCTGAAATTTTCAGCTCAGTTGAGTCAAATTGAGACCAGCAGTTGAGTTTAAAGTGACGGTAGGTCACACTTATCCCGCGTCCCCTCTAAACGAAAAATGCACTCATCCAATTCGCTGTTTTCTCCGCGTCAAATGACTTCCAGGCATAATCGCTCGGTATTCCGATAAACCTAACCTTCAACTACCAAAAAACACGCACGACTCAATTTTGATCAAAGACATGCTGCTGAGCACAAGATCTTTCTTTTATTTTCATCCTTCTTTTTTCTACATGGAAAAACACGAAAAACGGTCTGGATTTCTGTTTCCCCTTCGCATTTCCTTCGCCTGTTGTTATCTACTGAGCTTTTAGTGAGGTGCAGCCGTTCTCATGTATCCCATCTGTTGAAATACAAGCATAACGAGCTATGACACGCACCTGAGGCGGCTGGACTCAAATCTCTAGTCTCGAATTTCTAAAACTGCACTTATGCGACTTGTCTTCCAAGCCCCTCAATTGAATCTTTGAACATATCTGAAAATTCCGAGGAAATGCACTCATAACTTCCTATGAAAATGAAGATGTTATCGGGGCCATAAAATAAATATTTTTTGTAGAAAATCGCTTAGTCCCCTTAAGGACCCATTGCCAAAGTGATATGCTGAATTTCACCAAAGATTGGCAAAAATTATCATTTTTATGATGCTATTTTGAGAGCACCTATCCGAGTAGCACAGGGAATGGAAATATCGAAATAAAATTGCAAATGCAATAAAATTTTAATTTATTACCATGAAATTGCAATATTTTTAAATCATTAGGTCTGCAATAATTCCTCGATTTTAAAACATCAACAAAACTAGTTCCATGTGTCGGAAAGATAGGTATGGCGAAACTCTAAAATCACGTATCTCGGTTTGGGGCGTAGCAGACTTCCAGTCATATTTTGTTTTTTTGATCTCGGAGAACTACTCTACGTCAATCCGTAAAATACTTCCGTGACTTTATTCACTCTGCGAGGCAAATTCTAAGAAAACTTCAAGGAATGATGTTAGTTTGTTCTCCTGCAAGAAAATTAAACAAGAGCTGAGATATAGGTATTTAAACCTTGCACACGAGATACGTGGTTTGGGAGTTTCATCGTTTAATGCAACTTGGAATACGATGAAAAATTAAAATTTACTTAATCTTCATTGCAATAAAGTTCAATGTGAAAAGTTCCTTCAATCGATGGATAGGCAACATACACAACACTTCGACGCAGAAGCAACAATTTTACCATATGACGCACAGTGGATCGAGTCAATAGGAGAGGTTTGCCATGAATTTTTTTACAAAAACTGCAAATTTAGATTTTTATTTTGTGAGATTTTAAAGTTTGGGAGAAGCTTCCTCGAGTAAATTTTACGAGAAATTCGATGGTGCCCCTTTTCAGACCTCCGCGTTTTTCAATAATGGAGTTTCGGGATTTGGAAGTTTCAAATTTTTGTCCGACCTCTCCCATTAACTCGTTCCATTGTGCGACGGTGAAACTACCAGACCACGTATCTCGATTGCGTTGTTTAAAAATCTCCGCTACCATATCGTTTTCTTGAAGAAGAACAAATCAATATTTTTTGAAATTTGTACAGAGTGTTCTTCGCATAGAGTGGAAAAAAAACACGGACCTCTTCAAGAACTGACGTCGACTAGTTTCCTTCTTAAAAAATAAAGTATGATAGGAAGTCTACAGCCAACCGATGTATGTTGTCTGTTAGTTTCACCGTCGATATGTAACTGCAAATCATTGGAATCTGTGCACTCGGGTTATTTTCTTCCACAGAGAAAACCATTTAACCCGGCAATAGAGCGTTGACGCAGAGGAGCGTGCACGATTGCATAACGCCTAATAAGCAGGGGCATCTAAGACAATAATCGCGGGGCGAAACGTTTACGGCGCAGCACTTGTGGCTGCCAAACCGCAGGGATAACTCAAGCCTGATCCACAGCGACAAAACTCTGATGATGTAGGATTTCCGCGCCCCATTTGGCACTCCCGTCGCGGGTTCCCGGCGGGTCAAAAGTATTTGCGCGCGAAAGCAGTCTCGACGGGGTAAGCTTTGAATAATGTTATTCTAAGCGACTTAAAAAACGAAACAACGGGGTCTTGTATGTGCCGCCTCGTCTCGCGCCTCAGAGTCGTCTGCCGTCCTCAGGAACAAGGCCGTGTAAACACTCAAATGTTGCCAAATTTTCCTTTGATTAAATATCAAGCCTTGTATGTAGTCTCTCCTTAAACGATGAACCACTAGACAAGGTAGGAATTTAAGCATTCTAATACATATTTTTTGGCCAGAATTTCATGTAGAATACAATTCTTGCGTCGAAAATTACTGAGAACAACTTCTAACTAAGATATTGACGTTTGTCTTTTACGTTGGTTACGGGAAATTGTAATTGCTCGGTCACAAAAAACGCAATACTCTACGTGAGTCGATTCGCGCCTTACAACGCTTCTGGCAGGCTTCTCAATCGAGCATTGTTCGGGTTATTGTTCAAAGTGCAAATAATTTGCTCCAGCTGAGCCAAAGCGTTAAGATTGAGGGTCCATATTTTCTTATCGCACAGAGTGCCACGGTAACGTTTGGTGTGCAATTTGACTCACGAAGACTACAGCGTTTTCATCAGTGGGAGGTTTAAATTCACGCTTCAAGAAACATTAAAATAATATATCTTGGTTAGGAGTATCGCATTCAGTACTTTTCGGTGCGCGAATCGTGTACATTCTACGTGACATTCGTGATATGTCGTGACATTCGTGACATGTCGTGACATTCTACGTGACGTGATATTGTCCAGTGGTCTATTATTTTCCTTACGAGGGCCCATTTCGTTTATGAAGTGATCGACGACCGTAATTGGACTACATTTTGGAATTTATGAACTATAAAGTTCGGCCCGGTTTAAAAACAACATATGTGCCATTAGTTTCCTTATGCACATAAGTGTTTTTTCTTTCAGATGAATTAGAATTTACAGCTCCAAGTCGTTCCTTACGCAGCTCCTTTCCTTGGGAGGCTCCAGTGGGTTTATACTAAGGTTTCAGAGGGTTTAAAGATACTCACAAAATAGAATCAGAAAAAGATAATTTTGCCAATCTTGAGTTAAATTGCAGGAGTACACCTTTAGATATGAGTCCAGTCCTTGAAAGGGATCACTTTACAACAAAAAATATTTATTTTTCATCCCTCGATAGAATATTCTTTTTTTAAGGGAAGTTGTTGATACTTTTCCTCGGAATTTCCAGATACTTCAAATTAAATTACGAATGAAATTATCTGAAAAATTGGAACGAAAATGGTTGCAAGTTTCCCTGAAAACTCGTTTTAAATCAACGGAACTTAGGCAACGTCGGATGACTCAAAGTCAAAGCACGGCAGAGTTGATAACTCTAACAAAGAACAGGATGTGAATGCTACGTTTAATCAAGGCGCCGTGATACAACTATTCGTGCTCTATGGATGTGCGCGTTGTATACGTAATAATTGAAGGCGTTTTGGTTTTCTTCACGTTGGCGCGGTTACAGCTCGCGGTGCGGCGACACGTGCGGCACGCGATGCGGCGATGCGCCATCGATGAAACCAATTCTATAATCCTTTGCGAAATGATGAAGATTCTCAATGAATGTCTGGATTTGGTTTATTTTTGGTTTTAAACAAGTGGAAAGTTTGAATTCTCAGGATGGTTATCGACAAAGGCTGAACTCTCATTCATGGGTTGAATCGGGTAGTTTTCAAAAAGTTCTTTGTCTTCTCATCTTTCTCCTCTTCTTCCTCTTCTACATTTCCGTC